GACTGGAATGCCATGTACAAATAAATGGCAAACACACTTCCTACTGTTTTACATAAAATTTCATAAGAAGCATTATCAGGTCCTTTAAACCAAATCTTATTGATTACAGGTGGAAATGAAGAAGCCAGTGCGAAACAAAGTCTGTGGACATGTTTATGAAGAAGATGCCATTCTAAAAATTATCCAGACTCGAAAGCAGCAAAAGAAAAAAGTCCGGTAAGCTAACAAGAACGTGTGGAAAAGCTATTTGCTTTGCTGTGTAAGTGGAATTTTACTCCACTTGTTCTAGGAAATGTATTTGGATTGGCAAGGCTGCAGGAAGTAATACCTCAATGTCTGCCCAAGTCACAGTCTCCTCATTAGTACTGTACACGTGAAGGAGCTTTTCTTTTTAATGAAAATAACGTGTAAGGAAATATTCAGGAATTGTGTGGGGGACCTACAGCTACTTGTGGTACCTGCACAGCAGAAGGAAAGAGATTTTGTATAGCCAGGAACGACAAAGAGAAACTTCAGCTTCCTAAAATTTACTTGCTGATTTTGTTCCCACTGCTTATGTAGCAAGTCCTGAAGTTAATGACCAAAAAAATCTCCTCTGTGTACCCTCTGCAGTTATATCCTAATACAACTGAGAAATAGCAAAACACGAGTGTTAAAGTGAGAAATATTAAAACACAAATTTTTAAGTAGCACAGAATTTAAGAATGATCAGACAGAGCTTTAAGAGTGATAAGACAGTGCAGATTGTGCAGTTCCTATGTTGCAGTTTCTATATTCCTCTAACAACTATGATGCGGTAAAAGAATTAATTCTTTATATCATCAAAGCAGCCTGCCACTTTCCACAGGGGACATATGTTTTTCAATTAAAAGATGAAACAGTTGAACTTTTAAACCTGGAATTATCCCCAGTAAGTTTCAAAATCAAGATTATTTTGATTCAAGGGAAAAAAAGAAAAGATAATAAAAGGGGTTCTAATACACTTTTTAGAGCAAGTTGAGAGAATATCTCATTTCATCATTGATTTCACATATGGGTTTACACCATATATGCTAGAGCCTCATGCTTTGGGGCTGATGACCTCATGGAAACTTACTATTTGTGGACTTTTTAATAAATGTGCAGTTTGCACATACTCAGGAAGGTCTGTCAGGGACCAGCAACCTGATTTCCCCAAAGATAATGCCACAGGCAGCTTATTTCCTCCATCTGTTGCTCTGGCATTTGTTAGACTCTGCATAGTCCTCCATGGGGGATACAAAGGTGGAGCAGGAGTTTTTATGCCATGCTCCTTCCCAGCTACAGGAAAGCACTGCTATAAATTCAAGCATCATTTGGGATGTCCAGCCACTACCTTACTGTAAAGACAGCTTGAAGGACAAGATGGAAGTACCTTGCTTGTGTTACAAGGTCTAGGGAGAAGAAGTGGAATGGGTGCAATGTCCTGGGAATAACTAGAAAACCAGCAACACAGATGGAGAGAAACTTGGCTGGAAAAATGAACAGGAGCTGGGAAATAGCTCACAAGCTGGAGAGAAGACAGCGAGTGTTCTGGAGGATAGCGAGAGGTTAGGACACGTGCTCAACAGCCCAAAACCACGACAGAAATACCTTCTGCAGTATGGAACTGAGTTTAGTATGTTCATATCTAAATATTTGTGTTGTTAAATCCATCAGGATAATGTTATGGTAGGAGAGATTGTTGCAGTGGATCAAAATTTTCAGCACTGCTGGAAAACAAATAGGGTCACGTGATTAAATTTTACTTTACCTTTTAAAAATAAAAGACTAGAGAAAGTCTAGAGTTAAAAAAATCATGTAAGCTGCACAATAGCTAGCTTTAAGAGCTACCTTATACTGAAACTGAAGTTATCTGTGCAGTCTGAACACTGGCAGTTCTTATTATTGGACTTGTAGCTTACCATTTTTACAGCAGTTATCCCACTGTGCTAGAAAAGCACACACATGGCAATACCTTGGCTTCACTGTAACTAAATTAAGAAGGACTACTTGGTTTTCACTGCCCTGTCTCACTGACCTGCTGTAATTTTAAACTGTGGTCACTTTTGAAAAAACATCATCTGCTGTGGTGGGAAGACCGGCCAGTTGATGCAACAAGATCTGCATTTGAGTACCCCACAGCTACTCGGCTGTGCTCCTGCCAGCAATATCATGTAAGAGCAGGTGTCCCGACAGAGCCGGCTCACTGTCCTGACTCTGAAATCAAAGCTGTTGCTCACTCTGGAGACACAGAATGGCTGTTTCCTCACAAGTACCTTCCTGTTTGAATCCCTGGGATCCCTTCGGTGCCCTTGGCAGTGCACTAGCTGCATGTCAGCCCTGCAGCTGACGTACACACAGCCACCGGTGCTGTGCTGATAGACCTGTCATACACTCCTTTAGGCAACTCTTACGTCTCTTGGTTTGCTCAGTATTTTCCACTGCCTGGAAGGACATGCTAATACTTTATGCTTACAGGAAATGTGGGAAGCTTTCTGAGCACTTGTTATTCATTAATCTGGCAAGCTATTGCTGTATTCAGGTGATAAATGGGAAAACTGAGGCACAGAGCAATTAAATGACTGATCTATGACAAACACAGTAAGCTGTGGACAAATCTGGAGTAAAAGTTATGAGTACTGAGTGTAAATAAGTTCAGTGCCTCAGACAAAAGTTACTCCTAAGAAAGGAAAAATTCAGGAAAAGTGTTATTTCTGACTACAGGTACCATCTGTGTATGTTTGGGCCACTGCCAAAGGAAAATGATCTTTGGTCCCTGGTTATCTTTCAGCCTGCTGTCTTTATCTGGCTGTTTCGACTAGGTGTAAGACATTTTGTATTTGATTATCATCTTGGGGCTGTTAATTTGACCCCATTTCTCCTTTCTGAGCTTTCTCAGTTCATAAAAGGTCAGGTTGATTTTTACACTAACTAGATAGTCCACTGATTCACCAGTCAGTGTTTGCAAGTCTCATTCTATCTGTTTCCCTTGAAAATAATTTCCCTGTTTATCTGTCAGTGAAGATTATACTTCTCCACTGCAGATTACTAAAGTAAGAAGTAGTTACCTGCAGTTTATAGGGGGCTGCAAAGAGAGAAAGCAACACAGAGAGGTGTCCATGCAATGTTGGTATCACTGCTGATGTAGGCATGAAGCAAGAAAGTGATCTACAGGTGAGAGGCTCCATCTCTCACTGTGCTCCTCCTTTCCTTTCCTTTCCTTTCC